TGAAACCTTTCCATGTTCCTTATAATGCCGCCGCTCTTATTTCTTTTCATGTGCGTACCAATAAATGTGACGATTGAGCGGGCCGAAATAGTCCAAAAATTTATAGTGAAGTTGTGTTGAATTGGATCCTGTAACCAAAGAAAACCTACACAACTACGGCTCTGCTCAACTTTCACAACAAACAAATGCGAGGAGCTTGTAGCGATTGTAAATAATTTGCTTACTTTTCATTTTCACGTTTACCTATTTCGCTGCAGTTGTTGTACAGCTTTGTTTTAATTAACTATATATGCACACACTTGGTTTCGAGCTCGTCTTCCGTGGTTCTACCTTGGTTGCCGCCGGATTGTTGTGGTTGTGCGCGTCGCTGCCTGCTCCATTCACGATCGGACTCTACGTACACGCACACTTCGTCGTACCTCGCGATTTACGATCGTCCGACGTTTAGGCGCATCAGGATATTTTATATGTGACGTAAACCTGACTGACTGAGTATTCTCCTTTGCCGGTTCCTCCATAAGCTCAATCTCGTCTGAAGGGGCCAGAAGAATTTCAAGCTGGGCGCGTACATCCCCATCAGTTGTACACCTAACAATGCCAATGCAGTCGTAGTTGCCAACAAGGAACATATCCTCACACATTTTCTACTCCAATGCAAAAGCACAGGATTAATGTAACCATTGGTCTGATCCCTTACAGGTACAGCATCTTGCCAGTCTAGCAATATACCTATTTAGTGTTTATTATTTTAACTCTCTGGGATATAGCGTTTGCCTAAACATGCGGCTTCATCAGAACTAAATTTCCTCCAATGTGTTTCCTGTGAACGCCGTCACTATTCAGAGCGGTGCGATGATTTCCTAAAGCTCGAGCACAACGAACATCTGGAATTCTGTCGCGCCCGTCGACGTTGCCAACACTTTCGCAAACCGGATAATGACGTACCAAGTTGCCAATCACGAAGGGGCTGTGGGTCGAACAATTGTAAGCTATTACACCAAACGCTATTCCACGCCGAACAAAAAATCTTCGGAACATTAAACACGGAGGGATCCAGTTTGCTCTCACACAGGTCGAGTGCTCTGTTGTACCACTTGGTTTGTTGCCTGTGCTTGTTTCTGGTCCTGCTGGCACCTTTTGTACATTAGCCTTGATAAATACTACGTCCGATACGACACTTACTGATGCACCATTGTTACAAGTTATCGGGGTTCAAGGGTCCGTGACGGCAATTAACATAAGCACCGTTGCTGGTCAATGCCAAGTAGAGTCCCAGTTGGTTAGTGTAACTTTGCAATCTATATATGGTGATGAGGCAGTCCAACTGGATTTAAGTAGGTCAGTCAGTCGTCTCCCTAACAAGCTCGAAACGGAAAACAGAAGCAACCATTTCTACTGATGGTATTACCTCTCTGATCTACTGTTACCGGAGCTGGAATAAAGGGGTTGAACTTTTGGTTGGTGGCCATAACTCATATCTACATTGGGTATTAAACCTGAGGCGCAGGGTTTTCCATGGTCTGTATGCAGTTAAAACCCCATTGGGCCGGATAGTAATGGGACCGAATAAACAGCAGGAGAATATGAGGGATCGGTTCACACCACTGATAGTTGATCGAACTCGGAGGATCAAACCACTCGTTGCGATACCAGTGACTTTCGTTAATTACTGGAGCAAGTGCATGAAAGAGAAGTTGACGGAATAGATAGTCCATGACTAGGCATGGCGGTGAACGACGGACGCGCCTTAAAATTAATGTAAGCTTCTAAAAGGTAGGTTGGCGCCCACTACGAGTCTGCGTTGCGATGGCAAGCGGTGAGAGTTTACATATCAGATAACAGACAATTTTCACTACTCAGGCTTGCGGTGTTGAAGAAACGTTTGTAGGAGTATGTTGCACTGCGCCAAGCATACATCAAGGCAGCGGAAGAGTATATGGTTAAGATATGCTGAACTCGCTCCAGTACAGGAACAGCAGACTAAAGAGGATCCAGGTACATACCCAACCACTCGCCATCGCATCCACGTAAACCCGATAAAGTGCGAGTGGGATTCGATTGTTGTGCTTCACACCGTGGAAATCTCCTCAATCAACAACTTCTACCTAGTCCCGATATGTCAAACAGTCTAGTAGGGATGCTTTTGCGGCTCAGGTTCCACCTAATGGTCGTCGCGGCCGACAATGAATCAATGTTTCATCAGGTCAAGGTTCCTACTAAGGATCGGAATTGTTTGAGATTCTTATGGTGGAAGAACGGCAAACTTTGTTCACTCTCTATCGAATACCGTATGAATGTGCATCCGTTGGGCGCAGCTTCGCCAATAAGCAGTGCTGACTGCGTTACGACAAGCTATCGTTGTGAATCATTAAAAATAGTTATAGAAGTAGCAAAGAACTGTTTTATGTCGACCATAGTTTATTTAGTGCCCACTCTGTTCAAAAAGTGACTGAACTTCTTGAACACCTCACACGGATTCTGACAGGGAACATTTGGTTCCCGGAATATGATATTCGATTGAGGACGACTGCTTTATATATGTACGTGTTTTAACTTGAAAAGCCAGCCAGGACCACCCAAATTTTACGCTGGAAAGTTTTAATAAAACGCTTTTTTGAAGAGCCATCCTTTCCTTGGTAGCTTCATTAGATGATACTCTGGGCCTCATGGCTACCATGCTGCTTCCGGCAAAGGATGTTCGCTAACATTTGTTCTGATGTCTCGTATTTGACACGTCTTACGTGTCATTGTTTACCGACTAGTATCCCAGACTCCGCCCAACAGGTCTGTGGTCTAAGGGTGTCTTAGAGGAAGTTAGCAAAGTCCAATCAGTTCGGCAGGCACTGATGAGGACATGTAAAAGTGAACTGAGAGGGGACGTCAGATAGGTATGCCTGCTAGAAGCGTACTAGGAAGATGAGACTGATGACGTGGAAGCCGTCGTCCAGAATACGTAACCGCCGGGGGAGTGTAAAGTCCAGCAGGAACTTTGATGTATTCCCCAAGCTGGATTACCTACTTGAAGGCACGGTATCTCTATTCCCTAATTAATCTGCCAATTTTACATTGTTTTCAGTCTGTGTGCTACAAGTGGTCACCATATTGAACATTATTTCTTCTCACTCTCGATCACTGACACATCCTTCACGTTTCAATGTCATCTATATTATTCTGTTACTGTGGCCCTGCCCAAATTCCCGCACGATGGTGCACGCTTCGCAATTTGTGCTCTATTGCAGTAGGATGGCAAAACCTATTCGTAAGTCATGTACCGTATTTAATTTGCCTTATAGAACCACGGTAACAGGATAATTCGTTTTATTCTTTTGCGCTGACCGTGCGTTAAGTATAGGTTTATTGGTTCGTAGTCTCTAGTTTAGTTTTCGTACGACGTACTTAGGTTAGGCTTCGTATCATTGGTACTGTCCTCTTGCGCGTGTTAGGTTCTAAGATTTGTGCTGTGCACATGGTATTTTGTGTGGCAGACTACGGTCGATCCACCGCCTTGTGTGCGTTGGTTTCCCCATATGCGGCGTGCTTCTCGGTCCCGTTGATAAAATATGGCGTCCATTAACACGTCTCTCGGTCTGATTGTTTCGGACTTACCGTGAATTTGGGGCATGTGCATGGAGCTTTGAGTAGCATTGCGTCAAACACCCATGGTCCCTATGTATGCGCACGCTTCCTGTGGCTATCCTAAGGAGACCACATTTACAGGGAAATCCGGAACCGGATGGCGACTTTATATATATGTATATATATATATATATATATATATATATATATATATATATATATATATATATATATATATATATATATATATATATATATATATATATCCGTGTTATTGTGTTGGAGAGACAATACGAAATATTAACGCGTACTAGCAGCTACTGCTAAATGATTACAACGAGACAAAGTGCCGTTCCTATTTACTGTCTTCTAAAGTAGCTGCACACTCTTACAACATTTGCCAATAATAAATGAAGGTGTATTACGCGACAGTGAGGCACGGTCCAAATGATTGGTCTGATTAGTATGTACGACGAGATCGCGTGGGATGGATGAGATTTCTTTCTCTTTTTTCAGAGGACTTCCTAAACCATACTGCAGTGCTGATTGATGGGCGGAATCTTTCAAATAGTTGAAGAGATTGATAATAAGCATTAATGTAAATAAATGCAAATATTCTAGTAACGTAATACGACAACCCGTGCAATCGTCTCCAGGGGACCGGCTATCTAACAGGGTAGTCCCACGAAAGGTTTCAACCGCCTTTCCATGTATATCTGATGGTGTGCATGTGTAGCTTTAAAGCAGATTATTCATGAGCTGTTCTACTCATCTTTAGTGCCTTTTGCATGTGCGTAGACATATGGACAAGCAGGCCACTTAGCACTTAAGTTCAGTCGTGTTTATGTGTCACACTAAATAAGGAACTGACATTTATCTGCAGTCAAGCTTTCTCGATAAAATTTGCTTCGGGAGCGCTGTATTAGATGACTGCTCAAATGATCAATAGGAATGAGAAGGACTACAAGTGAATACAACACATTACTGAGCAGAAAAAATATATCGGCTACAGCATTGAAAAGCATGGTTTGAAAAACTCCATCCTTCACAAATCTATCGCTGTAACCAAGTGTAGAGCATGTGGCATCATAAATTTTCCCCTGCTGATAAATTAGTCACGGAACTCAACTCATGCTTTGGGTAGAGTAGTAGCGTAGTATGCGACACTGGAGGATGAGCTGCGTAACATCGCAATCCGCTACTGAAGAAAGATGATGCGGCAAGCCAACGTACCTTGATAGTGAGGTTAATAAAACTGTATAGATCCGAGCATACACACCACAGTGAGTCCCAAGAGGACAAATTGCCCACCCATTAATTTTACGGCGTTCGGTTGCGGCTCAGCAGCACATGATAACGAGGAGTTCTAAAGTGCTCTCGCTTGTTGGAAATCGCATTGAAGAAAAGGAGCTAACAAACAATTACCGGTATCACTCAGTTGGCTTTCAAATTGAAGTTAGTTGGATTACTGGTGTATAATATTTTAGTGGACCAGGACAGGTGAAAAAGACAACTCAAGTACTGTGGTTAAGACAATGGTGAAGTTACGGGACGAACCGTAAACAGCTTTGCGTCAAAGTAAAACGCTACGAAAAGCTGGTCGTGATGGAAATCAAACTGACAACTGGTTTCGGGAAAAAACGAAGCATCTAAAGGACTTTCAGCGGATAGCCATCGTCACTGCAAGCATTGCATCACTGATAGGCAAAACAAAAGAGCTGGGTAAGCTGACACGCCTCAATCGTCAGTACGTAAACAAGCAAACAGTTTGTTTATTATTCAGACAAAACGAATGGCGCATCACGGAAATGAAAATCAATTAAAAAAGGGTGTTTCTGGTAGAAATAATGAAATAAAAAGGCTCTGAGTATTTGAACAATAGCAATCTGGCAGGCTACAAAATATGTCATTCGGATCCCGACGGAATCATGGGCAATACTCAGCAAGGAGCTGGGAATAACGTCATTATGACTAAGCCGCCGCTGCATCGGTTATCCTGAGAAACTTTGCTGGTAAATATTGACTTCCTTATTCGATATCAAACAATAAGTCATCACCAGCGATTTTCATTCCCTTCTGTACATGCACTTTAGATATTTGTCCAGAAACGGGTGCAGTGATTGCCACCTCCATTTTCATTGCAGACAGAGTGGCCAGCCTTTGACCTTTCTCAACTTTATCCCCCTGTTTCACATCAATGGAGACCACATCTCCAGGCATGGGGGCGCCCACAGACCCTGGGACACCTTTCAATGCTTTCGGATGGACCACCACAGACTGGAAAGAAGGAGAAATAGAAACATAGATGGTTGCATCACTAAATGTACAGAAATATATTAGGCTCCATAGACACAAGTAAGCTAGAGGAAGCCGATTGAAAGAATGTTCTATAGTCCCTAAACAGGTAGATTTCTAGAGAAAAGATAATGTGATAAATGACCTTTGTAAAGCTGAGCATAAACACACCAACACTCACTTCGGACGCCTTCTTATCAACCACCAGAAGAGAACGAAGCTGCCCGTTCATTTCGAAAAACACCTCTCGTTTTCCATCCGTGGCCTCTTCCGCCATTGCCAAGGTCTTAATGGAAATTGTTTTCCCGGGCTCGAGATCAACCTATGCAAAACAGGCGAAAGCTGAATGAAGTAGTCACAGTATCGTCCGTTTTCTCGGAAGTCGGATTAGAAGAGTTGATGAGACATACATTGACTAGAGATATAAGTGATGTGCAAGAATGTGTGGATGGAATTTTCGCTGTCTACTCACTTTCACCTATACAATCATCGAATGCAAGTTTACTACGGGGCCTTTAGTGAGTGAAGGAAAAAGCTTACCACTTATGCGTACTTTTACAAATTTCGATTGCAAACAGACTTTTCTCGTGTCTACTATATAAATAAATAGTATATATTCATTGACTTTTCGAGAAGCTGATCCCGAGCAGGGTCATATCCAATGCATTAACTCTTTATATCTCTCGCATAAGAATAAATAAATATGATCAAGTTCAGATATTAAGAGCTAACAGACAGGTGTATCAATAGAATGAAAGTACAAACGTATGATAAGTTATTCCGGATGTTATAACTGGGTACAGCGTAAGAGAAATTCTCGTCGCTTACTTGTTGGTTGCATCAACTCAGCATCATCCTCAATATACGCTAGCCGAGGGTGAGAAACAAACCTCAGCTAAGGTGCCGCAATACAAAAATGATGAGAGGGGAAAGGTTACAGAGTACATAAGTTAAAAAGTAACGTAATGCTAAAAGCACATTATGCATTTTATTTAGATCGTCGTTGGAGGGGGAAGCAAAGGGGAGGGAAGTGACTAAGAGAGTCACAACGCAAACACCATTGAGGCTGGCTCCACGACGACCTTTCACGGTCGGCACAACATCATAACCAAAACGTACGTCCCACGACTCATTGCTAAGAACAGAGAAAATTGATTGCATGGACACCAATGCATAAGGTATACTGTGCATGCTTGCCTAACTGCAGCTGCGTCATGCATCATACGCCTAGGATTTCATATTTATAACGGAAACTTGGCTGCATTCGGAAATCGCCGACGCTGAACTCGAGATACATGGCATGTCCCGCATTCGAAACGATCGCTGGTGTAAGGGCTGTGGGGTAATTTATACTACCGTAATGATCTGCGGTGGACGATCCGGAAAAGCTGCTCAAGGACTCGCTCTGGTGCAGTCTGCGACTAAGGCGCAACGACAACTGCCTATTGTCAGGGGTTTATCGTCCCCCAACGTCCAACCCAGAGATTGACTCTCACCTAACATTCGTAATGGGGTGGGTACTTCGACAACGATGCAGCCATGTTCTCATCTCCGGCGACTTCAATGGTCACGATTTGGAAGTTCCGGCTTCGCCCAAGAAACAATTCAAGGCACTGCAAGCGCTTACTGCAAGCTTTCCGCTCATTAGCCATGTCAGTTCGCCCACCAGATTCAGAACGGGAATAAGCTGTCTGTGCTTGATCTAGTGCTCAAGAACGAAAAGCTCATGATCGAGAAACCAAAGATAGAGATCCATATGGGACGAAGTGAGCAAGTAAGCAGACTTTATGATTATGTATGTTATGCGGAGTATCCACAAGAACATAGTGACTTGTTGCGCACAACCACACGTTACGACACATTCACAGCACTTGTTGGGGATGCCATTTGGAATTTTTCGGACAGTTGCTCCACTGATAATACATGGATGGAGTTTGCTGGCAAATTCAGCGATCTGATTCAATCCCATCTGTAATCATACCCATTCGTTCCACAAGAGCACCATCAATCATTAGGTGCAGCACCCGAAAACGCATGGCGGTAAGAGACGCAGAGTGGCATGAAATTACGGTGAATCATAACCCTGAAAACTAAAGCTATTAGGTAGTGCATCGTTATCACTTTACCACATTTGTAGGCGAGGACAAATTGGTTCACCAGCACAACCTAGCAGAAAAGTTTTGGGCTAACAGCAAGCTTCTGTACAGACATGTTAACAGCCTCCGGAATGTGCAGCGTGGTGTTCACCCACTTACCTCAGCGGATGGATGTGCTCAAACTGCTGAGGATGCAGCCAACGTTCTACGGCTGCGATATACTTTAGTATTTCGATGCGCCAGCAGCATATGTCACATACCTGGCCGATTCCCCCAGTCGCCAGTATTCACACACGTCCCTTTTAGTTCAGCGACCGTTTTGAGGAAGCGGACAGCGTTGCATACCCATAGTTCCCCCGGTGTTGGCGACCTTCCTCCAAAAGCACTTCAAGTGGCAGTTACGAGGATAGCTGCGCCATTAGCTCGATGTTTTCAAAGATGCCTGGATGGACAGCAGGTACCCAACATGTGGAGGCATGGCATCATCATCACAATTTTCAAGGGTGGTAGCTGTTCGGAGCCCGTCAACTACCGCCCAATGGTTCGACTCCCGATGCTCTCAAAGTTGATAGTGTCAGACATTACTGAGGCTCTAATGGGCTACTTTGAAAGATCTAACATCATAGCACAGGAACAACACGGATTCCGTCAGCAACTATCATGTATTACCACTCTGCTGATTGCGCGTTGCAGTTGGACCAAAATAGCCGACAGTGGGGCCGGCACTGATGTCATCTACTTCGACTTTCCTAAAGCCTTCAATCGCTTTGATCACTGACTCCTTCTCCAAAAGCTGCATACGTACAGAAATGGGGACCCGGTCCTTGGATGGATCGGAAATTTCCTGCTTCAGCGGCGGCTTCAGGTTCGGGGTACATATTCATTTTCTGCCGGTGGACAGCGGTGTCCCACAGTTATCGGTGTTAGGGCTGCGCCTATTCCTGGTATTCATCAACGACCTAGAGCGCGTCATCGAGTCGAAGCTCCTGCTTTTTGCTGATGACGTCAAGATATGGCTGGCTATCGGTTTTGAGGACGATCATGATGAGCTGTAGAGAGACTTAGACTGTGCCTTTGAATTGTCAAACGCAAATCTACTTCCGTTTAACGCGGACAAGTGCAAGCATGTATGTGTAAGCCACAAACACAATAACGTACACAAGCTTGGAGACCACATGCTGAAAACCGCCTCACAGGAGTGTGATCTTGTGTTCGTGGTGCGAGACGATCTCGGCTGTTCGGTGCAGTTTTCGAAGGCGTCCGCAAACTCTAACCAACAGCTTGGTTACTTCCGGAGGGCGTCCGTGCGGTTCGACCTTTCCATGTTCCTCCAAATGCTCAGTGCGTATGTTAGGCCCCATGTGGAGTACGCAATTCAGGCTTGGCAGCCCAGATACTTGAATTTCTGGACGAATGTTAACTGATCACTGCCAAATGTTAGCGCAGGAGTGAAAAGCTTATCCTGAAACGACAGACAGCCAGAGCTAACTAATCCAGTGCAGCTTGACACGTTTGGGAGCTGTCTCAGATGAGCACATTCTCATCAATATACTCCAGGTCAAGAAGTCGGCCACTTGGGAGCAGCTCTACACCTTCTAAGTCCTGCACCGCGAATGCCAGTTCCACGAGTTCGTAAACGTCGAAGTTAAAAATGCAAAGTGACAGCGGACAACCATGTTTCACACCACTGGAGATATTGAAAGGCAGCGAAATTTTGCTGTAAACCCTTACTCTGCCCAAATTATGCGCGTACAGTGCCCTTATGACATTTTGCATATTTCTCAGGCACACCTTTCCTTATTAGGCAGTCTCAAAGAGCACAGTCCCAGAGAGCACATTGCTCAACCGAATCAAAGTCACTTGATTTCTAAGAACAGGACTACGGTGGGTCGCCAATAAATATGACGGTGTTCCAACAATTGCCATAATGTGAAGATGTGGTCGATACAGCTTCCACTTCAACGAACTCCGGCATACTCTTCGTGCCAGTTAGTTTATAGAGGACGACGGATGCAAGTAACTTGGAGGCAATTGTGAGCAGACTGATCCCACTATGATTGCCGCATTCCGAACAGGATCCGCCCTTGGAAATTGGGCTTATAGTGGAGAGGTTCCATTCTGTTAGGAAAGTCTTCTGCTCTCATAGATTCACTAGTAAGTAAGGTACATTGCCCAGAAGAGTAGGGCACCTAATTTGAAGAGGGCTGGATGAAGTTGATCTGCTCCAGCAGCCTCGTTCAATTTCCGCCGCCTGATCTCATATTCGATTTCTGTGCGTGAAGGTGGATCCAGAGTGACAGCCCAAGGAGCGGGACGATCATTGGCCGATGGAGAAGCTGGTGACTCCGACTGATTAAACTGCTTCTCAAAGTACTCGGCCCAACGCTCCAAAGGTTTTGACAAGCTGTGAATTGGCTGACCATTCTCCTTGCATACGGTGTCGCTGAAACCAGGTATTCTGCTGCCTGTTTATCGTGCCAGACAAAATAACTTCCGAAGGTTATCAAGAGCAGCGGCTGTCTTCATTTCCCATGCACGATGATGACACCAGGCTTTGCGGTCTCTCTTCAGCACAGCACATAGTTTTACCCTGAGATCTTTGCAACTCTCACTGTATTCACTTCTAGCCGGAACATGTCGGCGAGCATTCATAAGTTCCAGAGACTGTGTAGAGACTCATTGTCCGGGTTGGTGATTTTATTTGGCACATAATTGCTACGTTTACTTTCCGCCTAAAGCTACCAAGTCTAGGTTAGACAAATTGCCCAAATTATTACAATTGGCATCTGAAATGCCGTCCTATCAAAGCATTGTGGGGGGGGGAGGGGAAGATCCGTTTAACTCTTATATCCCTTGACTGGGACTACTTCCTCCTCACTGGCAGCCCAGATATCGCTGTTGATGAGTTCGCCCAGACATTTGATCTATTGCACCGACTTGCCTGCATCACCGTAACATAGAAACCAGCCACTGCATCACGCACAAAATCCTATCCCTAGAGAGGTTGCGATGCAACTAAGCCGCAAGCAAACGAATAGTATAAGTGCGATCATACAAACTCACAAAATCCTCCGGGAGTTCAAAACCCAAAATGAAAGAATGCTTATGTCACAAGGCGCACAAGTGCTAGTAGCTCCCAGCTGTTAACACATTGTATCCCATAATGCAAGGTAGATATGAAGCACAACGTCCCCAGATCGATATCCATTGCCCCATCAGATGGTAG